TTTCCACAATTTGATGATACGACTTCTGTTGTCGTCGTGTTGCTAAACGTTCGCCTTCAATTCGCGTCAAAAAAGATTCCGACGAACAATTATTTAGCCAGCGACACGGGTGGAAACCTGGCTTGCCTTTAGGGTACAAGCATGCATTGTAGTAATTATTTGACGCTGTCAATTTCAAAGCGTGAGCTTTCTTGAGTAATATAGATTTCTGGGTTACTTATAGATCGCTAACATTTTGAGATAATGAAAACAGGGGTGTTTCGTGAGTGAGGAACACAATAATACGCTGCTGTATGGCACAACGATGCAACTTTCCACGTTATATGAGATGGATACGGAATAGGCTTCCGGACGGCCAGACATCTTTTTTTTTGCACTGGATATTTCGACCAGATTCTACTCATCATCATTGTATTGGATCTAATCCAATGTAAGCCTAGGCCTACGCTATCTGAATCCGAACTTTAGGTTATTGTCTTGTCCTATTCTTTAGATCAACTTACCCTAGTGTATACGGGACACATTCTTGCAAAATGTGCTCACTGTTGTATACAGTATCCTTTGGTACGAATCGTGTAAAAAATATATATATATCTGTATTGTTTGCACTTCTTGGAATACTTTTTTAGCCCACTGCATTGCTTTGTCTACCCAGTCAACTTTCTGCAGTTGTGCCACGGCTTTATTTCAGCAATTCAGATTTACTATTTCCGTAACCTTACGTCGATTATTCAATTACCTTGATTCTCACATTATACGGGAATAATTTTATGGTCTTGCAGGATTTGTTGTCATTCCCTCGTGCCCATTTTCCCGTACTCCCACTGCAAGTGGTTCTCCGCTCTGCTGCTGTTCATCCGCTATCTTGTTTGACTTACCTATCCCAGTATTGCAGTTATTCTGCTATCTCTATATGGCATGTCTTTTCCCGTAGAGCCTCAGATCGTTCAGAAAATCAAACAAGTAAGATAAACCGCACAATTTAGGGGATTTCCGGTTGCTTCCTAAGAAAGCCACATGGCCTGATCAAACAGATCGCACTCTTTAATAAAGATGTGTTTGGCTACTTGTTGAAAACGCCTTATGGGACACAAGTGGGGAAAATCCTTTGTTTTGTGAAAATAAGTTTTATGCGAACCGTGTAGCCCTTAGGAGGCTAAGGAACTTCTAAATTCGGATGTTTGACAAATGCTCAACTGTTGCCTGCCACAAAACCTATTTACCCTTTATATAAAACCAATTGCCGTAGTACACCGTTTTTCACCTGTAGAGATTTTTCTGTTCGATTATAAAAATGGCGAAAATCGTTTCGAGTAATACGTTCTTTGTCCAAATGCGGACACCTACGCATTCAGAATGCTGGTTACGTCTAGAACAAAACTTATCTAGTCATAGTTAGCGGTCAGTTGCGTTCGCTAGACAAAAATAAGCGCTCGGATCCGTCGAGAAGCGTATCGGTGACACATCTGTTTTTTTCCTCTTACCGACATACGGATCACCATATCGTGTCTCTGATTCCGTTACGTTTCAACGTAACAACGCGGGTCATTTATACATATAGTATATATATATACTATAACGCTCACATATATATGAGTGTTATAGTATCGAGAGTATTTGAAATATAAGATAAATCACTCTAGTTCGCAGCACATACCTTACGACGTAGGTGAAACCCAAAAAGCTTTTGGCTATTCCATACTCATCATCCTAGTTTCTAGGACGATATAATCTATAATTTCATTGCCAGAGGCTAGATACTGCTAGACCTGTTCGTACTTGCTAGGAAAGTTTAGCTGCCATTCATTCATTTATGGGCTATCTTGTTGACCTAACGTCGTCAAAGTAGCAAGAGTAACCCGCTGTTGCTATTACTGTAGATGGCAACAGTTGTCAATTATCGAGATCAACGATGATCCCTTTCAAAACGGCTACTGCTTAAAAATTGTACTTTTAATAATGCGATTATCAAGCACTACATTATATTCAAAGCTAAGTTTCCCAACTAAGATCAAATAATTAATTTCTGTTTAATTTCAAAAGTACATGGCAAAAGAATATACCTGTGGGTTATATATATATACGCATTGTATAAGTTTATCAGTTATTTATATGTAGCTATATGTATGCAAATAAAAGATTTAAGTTGCTTGGCTGCTAAATGTTAGCGGATACGATTTCGGGTCGCTTGCAAGTGACAGAACTTGAACACGAAGTGGGGCCAGGCATTGGTGCGAAGCCCCAGATAGGCTAAATTGGTGCCACATAGGGCTGAGGTGGTGGTACCATTTACTCTACGTTTGTAGTGTATCATGAAAGGCGGCATAGAATTTCCGGTTGGTCCTTAACGTGCTGCAGCTGTGCCAACAAAGCAGGAATTATCGAATAATCTAAACGAAGCTACTAGTGAAAGCGATGACAGATTCACTTGAAAGCATTTAAAAAGGAAAGCAAAACAGTAATCCATTTGGCGTGTCTACGTTTTTTCTACCTGTTTCTATTGTATTACAATACAATAAATGTATACTTATCAAACCTGCGTGCTATTTCCTATTTTTAATACGAATTTTCTACTCTAAAAAATACACATAGTGAGTTGAGGCTGTTTTAGATTGAAAGGGGTCTTATATGAATGTTTAAATAGTGAAAAATTGTACCGTGGAGTCCTTTCTTCTAACCAGCGTTAATTGACTCACCCAACATGACGTCGAGTCAATGAGGCAGGCAGGTTATCAGAATGATCGAGTTTACATTAGTTGCTTAGACCACTGCGTTAAGCAATGCTGCAAGCCAAACAAGTTGGGCCCGTTTTTTTTTTTTGGCCCGAGGGAGAAACAGCGTGTCTAGACAATTTTGAAAGAAACTGTTCACAGGTTGACATACTGCTCTACTGGCTGTGAAGAACTTCTCACCGCGCAAACATTAAATGAAATTCCAGTATCGCTATCATATACAACTGCGCAAAAATAAGGCACGTGACAACAAGTTATTTATCAGAAAAGCGTGTAAAGTATAGTATAGATATCGGTGTAATCAGTTAGGGTGAACGGGGTGGGAAAAAACGGGACGTTTCAAACTTAACAGGCTGAGCGACCTCCTTAAATTAACTTTTGCGTCATTAAGTACCAGGAGGTTTAATCTGATTACAAAGCTCACGCGCGAAAAACAGTGAACGACTCTACGCTAAACACGGGGCACAAAGCTATCGAATATCTATACGATCCAAATAAGCCTCTAAAATACGCGAAGGGCATTGCGTTTACTCGCAAATTATGCAACTTAGATGACAGAACTGAAAGAAGTATTATATGCTGTTTTAGCTTGTACAATACCTATTACTTTGTTATTATCAGTACAAATCTTTCTACTCAGACTAAGTATTAAGGCTGGCCGTAATCACGGAATCTGTATATATATATATATATATATATATATATATATATATATATATATATATATATACATGTATGTAGAAAAACTGACTCGTTTTCTTATCCAGTGAGAATAGGTGGCATCGGACCAATAGATTGGAAAAACTATTCATATATGTAGTATTCTAAATAGCTATTGGTAGCTAAGCTCTATAAGAAAGGACTGCAGGTTAGCGGCTCCTCTGTCACTTATGATAGTCACTGAACCATGAAATGCCTTAGCACAAAACCTGGTTTTCCCATATATATATATATATATATCTATATATACATACAGCTGTTGTATAGATTATATATTTGTGCTTCACACATGATAACGAACGATAACATTCGTGCGCGTGATGCCCTTTTACATCAAGCTACTCTGAAAAATCTACATATTTATTAGATATGCCTTCCGAGTGTGCGTACTGATTCGTAAATAATTGTTAAAATCTAATCCGGTTTATAACAATTTTATTCCGTTTTATTGTTAAGTATGAAAAACGTTTCATTGCGATTTATTCAAACTCACGTATCTATTGTCCAATTGCAGATATCGAAATCTCAAGCATGATAGTTGCGTCCTGGCTTCATGTCGTGATACTAGCTTAACTTCCTACTAGCTTTTCCCTATTATTGTAAAACCTTTGCAACTCGTACAGGCGCCTCCTACCGGCCAGCTGGATGGATCTAAGGGAAAGAGCACTCAGCGGACATGACAAGACACTGCACCGTCGCCATTATTATTATTATTATCGGTACCAATCGCTGCGTCAGACTGTCGACGGCTATCTACGGCTAGCAACGAAACCGCAAATAGTGGTAGAGGAGTGAGAACGCTCAATCGGTTCAATGTTCGCTTAAGGCGCAAATCATCTAAAATGTTTTGGAAGGAAGGAAGAAATCATAATGACGGTTCTCTTTTTTACAGATTGGCAGCATACTCACAGAACGACAACGAATCTCCCAGGAAAATTTAAGGTGAACGAAAAGGCTCTTTTGAGCGCGGTGTCCCTGTCGCCTTTGCTAGCGTTACGGCTGCTACTGTGTCCTTCCGCTAATCGGAGGGTTCGGCGACGAGGCACCGGCGGTAACGTTGCCGAAACAGTGATGGCCAGTCAGGTAGCTACGCTGGGGTCGATATGAAGTCTCAAAAGAGAAACACGGTTTATAAATCAGTAAGGTATATGCGTTCCGTCTAGTACAAAGACGATCACTACTTGTTTCACCATTGGATGCCAGTAGCGGCAAAAAACACAACGTAAAGAAGCTAGCTTGCTGGAATCACCTGCTGTTTCGAACCCGAGTTGGCTATTTCGCATAGTTCGGGACCCTGGTTGTTCCTTCTATTTGTTAGTTCGTTTGCGTTCGGTGACAATATCGAACGGAAGAAGCGAGCACAACTACAATGGGGATCTGCAGTGATATAAACAAGCAGAAAATTGTCGTCGACAAATACCAATGTGCAGAGGACGTCTAATTCAGCCAGTGTATAGGACTAACGGTCGCAAACATCGTAAATGTGGTTAAGATATTTAATAAGTCCGCTGATAGATGTAATGGATTAGTATCTTTTGTTGCGTTTTATTGGATTGGGTTTATCGAAGGTGATTTTAGATCGACTTTATATACTTAAGTCGCGCAAACTTGTTTCTTCTAAATTGTTAATATCTTCGACTGGGCGCGGCGTCTTAAGGTCTTAACAATGTAAACAATTGCTCTTGAAAACACGACTGTGCAATTTAGGCCTATCCAACTTGACAGGCTGACAAAAAGAAGCTCGATGATGATACGGCGGTTCGAGGTAATACGACGATTCCATTATTGTAAGTATTCAGATCTGACAGTAGCATTAACATCGCTGCTAACGGCCAGTCTGTGATAAATGCAGCCTAAAACTACGCTACAAACTGTTTTTATGACCATTTCTTTATATAACTTACTTAGAAAGCAAATCTCTCTACGCGGAAATAGTAAGACCTCATAGCGTTCACTGGTCTACACAATAAAAAAAAATATATTAGACTCGCAAAATCCTGTATAGCAGGAAACAGTACTGCGTTTATATAGGATAATAGAAAAAATGATAACTGTTGTCTTAAATCTGTCCAAGCTCGTCTCGCCCAAATTGGTGTTACTACCTAATGGCTAATTTTCTACATTATCGGATAGAGCAATTTGTATTAGCAATGGGCGGTGTTTGATTTATCTGCCGTTTGGATGATCACTGTAGGTCGACTGATTGTGTCGTAGGCCTGCCTCCTGTGCGTGCCTTACCAAGCGTCGAACAAGTTTACGCTCAATACTATCAGACTTCGACAGAGGGCTCTGAGCCATTTAAATAGGTGCGTGCGAACGTGTCTGTCGATCTGTGAGTCTACGACCCGCCATGGTCCTGAGCAGTTCGGCTACGTGACTTGTCCTTGCTAGAAAAGTGAATCAATAAACGTTGCGTTAATGTTAACTTGGGGCCAATTCCGATATTTTGGCCTTGTTGCATAATATCATATATAAGCGAACAGAGCTGGTATTATGCCCATCCAGTTCTGTTGATTTTGATTGTAAGTGTGTTGGGGAAACGGAATACTAAGGATAACGGCTAGCTATACATTCTCAGTTGAAACTATCTATCTATTATACCAAATATTACAAATGCGACTCCTATCATGTTTGCCTAAAAACTTTTTCTGCGAAATAGTTTTATATATATAATAGTTATGTATATCGTATAGATGTAATTGACCTTTAAATGTGTTCAGAAATGATCGAATAGTGTTTAAACAAGTGCGCACCCTATCAGCGGCAGGGTAAGATATTTGTTTAGGAAGCATCGTGGCTATAGTCGCAGTTAAACGCTATACGATAGCGAGACGGATACGTGCAGCACATGGAGCCAGATACAAATGTACGTACTTACGGACAAACATTTCAGCCATCACCGACGGCATTATCACCAACGGCCCATAAAAAGGCACAATTATTCACTCCCTGGGAAACTAACTAACTAACTAACGTGCATTTGATAAACACAAACGGATCAGGGCACTGATTTGGTCGAACTACCGACGCAAACACGATGAGTGAGATTTCGCCCTTCTTGAAGTGTCGGCAGACGTGGGCCAGGGGATACGCTAACGTCGAACACCTTGAGCCCAAGTGCGTTTCCTAGTACAAAAAAAGAAGTCACCTTTTGTGCGCCGCTGCATACACTGTTAGGTATGACATGTCGCACATTTACATGTCATTGCTGAGTTCTGTATGCAAATGGCTATATTTTTATTCAGCAGCGCTCTCCTATGACTTCGGTAAAACACGCTGCGTATGATTACGTGACTTCCTGCGCGAACGGCTAAACTTTGTCAGGATTCATCTTCCTTTTAGACACCCATACATTGCTCCTCTCTCTTTTTCATTGGGTCCAGTATTTGTTCTTTTTTCTCCCGTCTGATGGGCCAATGTTTGGGTGGTCTTTGAGTGCTGAACGCAGACTACGAGGGTGGGCTTGAGCCAACGGCGACTCAGTACGGATTTCGGAGAGACTGAAAAATGAAGCGGAAACGCGTATAGAGCAGCCGCATAAACGGTAAGCGAGAATCGAAAATGGATAAGTGTTTCCTTTTCGCAATGATAATAGTAGGGTAAGCATGTGTCTGTATACGTGGAAAGATCATTAATTTCAATATATTCACTACACACCAGAAGCTAGCAGATTTTTGCCCCCACTAGCCCGTGTTCGTTTTCTGGCACAGCCGTCAAAAATCCTCGAGTCGAACAAGAATTGCGCACTTCTACCGTATACTGATATACTGGCTACAGCAAAGGTGAAGGAGATAGACGGAACTGACGGAGTGAACCTGACATAGCATCAAAAAAGACGAAGGCGACGCCATCTACGATACTTTTTAGGACGTCGCTGGATGGCCTCACAATGTTTAGCCACCCAGCATCGTCGTAACCCGAATGGTTCAGGCAGTAGTTAGCGATCGTCCTAGCGGAACGGCCGTCGGCCAAGCTATCTTGTTTTCTATTTTTGTTTTTGTTCTCTTTATTGCGTACGAAAATATGGTTCCGGCTTGTTGTTTTTTGAATTTGTGATGCATGTATTTGAAAGAGGCACAATCGCGTATTGCGTAGAATTATATTTCGTCAATACCTCGTGATTATAGGTATAAAATTCCGATTTACAACACTGTATTTCAATAAGAAACAGCAAAGGGATATTGAATTATTTGTCTCATATAGTGCCAGGATATGATACCACGACTTTACAATGCCACTGATACTATAGCGTAGATTGTTTAATTCCGTTGACGACTGGCTAAGATAATTCGATGATAATATTTAGACGTCAGCACTGAATTCAACCCAACTTTACAACCCTCAGGCGGTATCAACGCTATCTGTAGGTCTGAATAGTAAATTATGAGTAAACACAACATTTTTGAAGGACTTACAAAGTTCATACAATATTTACTCAGCTTTTGTGAATCATACGTGCGCAACCTATGTTTGCACTGGACGTAATGCGTTTTATTAAAATATCTCTTCATTCTGTTATCGCAAGTTCAGTATAGAAATTCATATTGTTTACAAACTTGGTCTACTTTTCCATCACTCAAAACTGCAGTTTTCTTTAATTTAGCCGGATACCCAATGCATCATTGCTGTTCTCCGCAACACTGAAATCATGCATCGCTCATATCGTTGATTTTCCCGGGCGGGAACGGACATTCATGCCATTATAAATCCCCTAATGATAACGCCCATAGGCAAAGCTCCGCAGGACATTCTACAGCTTCAACGATCCCTGCCTTTTACTAATAGTAAATAATCGGGTGCATCGTTGCTTGACTCCTGAAATTATAAGCGGATACATATTCAAAATAGTATTTAAAACATAACCATTATTTGCGATCACTCTTGTTTTCACGTTATGTTTTTCTTTCATCGTAACTGTTAAATTCAAATCAAAGCCGTAACTTTTCCCGTCGTCGAGATTAATTGGTTCAGCTAACTAGACAGCTTGTCGAGCAACGCTGACTCATTGTGCCGTTTATCTAACTATATTTGCATCTAGCCATGATGCATACTGAGCAGCGGTCCAAAGTGATACGTGATTTCATTTATTACGTACCATCAGTTTTTGATAGGTCCATAATATGGTAGGCAAGATATGAAGAGCCGTTGCCGTCATACATCGGGCAGCTGCGACGCCTGCCATAGGCCCAACCAACTCCTAATATTTGAGTCCAATCATGCGGAAGCAATTCGGGGAAAACCTCGATGTCGATGTTCGACGGAAGAGAAGAAGCAGCAGCACCATCACCGCTGCTACTTCGACTACTTCGACTGTGCGTAATTTACAGGAGTGGATAGACAGACAGAGCAGAAGGACCTATGGGGGCGAAGTGCTGGTCCTATATGCTGGTGGTCACAGCGCGCTTCGAGGGCATAGTTTACGGTCTCGACCGATGACCAACAAGCGAAGTTTCTCCTTGAAGCCACGGGGAACTGCAGCTGTAGGCTCTGGCGATAGTCGTTCTAGTCTGGTCTGATCGCTCTGGTCATCTTCTCGCCTACAGCGCCCAAAAACCTCGAGAATGTGCTCGATACATAAGGCCACAGACGACCCCACAAGTAATTTGCCTCAACCCCTACTCCATATCTCAGATTCGTCTTTCGCCGTCCAGATCGCCGTTGAACCTGACTTTAAGGGGGGTACGAAGCGTATGGAACGCAAAGAGGCAGCGGTGGTGGGTTGCTCGTTTATCAAACGACACGCTGGCCCTTTCTCCCTGACCCGTCTGGAGGCGGTCGCTTAAGCGTCTTAGCGACGCTAAAGGGTCTCTGCGTAGGTTGTAAAGCTCTGCAGATAGGTGAACATGGTCGAAGTAGTGGTAGTTGCAATGGCGGTGACCGACACCGGCAGCAACGTAATGTCAGTCTGCTGAATCGCATTGCGTGATTGTGAGACCTATGTCGGGCCGCTTACTGCGGTGATGTTCCGAGTAATGCCAAAGTGGAAATTCGCCAAAGAGATCACCGAAAAATGAAGGGCGCTGGCTCATGCAGTATCGCTAAGGAGGTTAGGTAAAGTCGAGATGGGTGGTGGGGGAGGGCTGAAATGGGAGATTTGAAGCTGTTGTCGAAGAAAAGGAAAATCGACGGGGTTCCTTTGTTCGTGCTTGTGGCCCGAGGCTCATATTACGCCGGCATCGTCTTTTGCTGCGGTGTCGCCCCCTCGTTCTCCTTTAGCCATCGATGGCTGGGTATGTGGGTGACCGGGCGAAACCCAGCGTAATGTATGCTAGGTGCTGGATAAGTGCGAGCATATATTTCTAGAATATTGCTCAGATGTTATGAATGCATATCTCATTCCTTACTTATTGATCCGATCTTTGGCACCTTCGTAGCCTTCGATGCAGGTCGTTCAGAAAGGATCAGCTCCCTGAAGGTGGCTGGCGAAAAAGCTGGGCGCTTGTTGTTAAGATGAAGCCGGTCGTCAAACCTTTCCGTTTTCAAAGCTTCTTCTATTCACAAACATTGCAACATTGTACCGCAATATCTATATACCTTTACCTGTGTGAAAACATACATTTATATTTCCCGCGTGTTACTTGTCTTTAACAGGCAATTTATAATATTCAGTATAACTAATATCGTTCACTTTTTAGAGATCGAAGTTGGTTATTGCAGAGGAGAGCGACTATTAATAAGAAAGTTTCACCAATATGCGGCGGTACAACAGGATATGTAATAAAGATCCTCGGGATAGGATTCGTTTTTTGCGTTAAAAAAATCAAGTTAAGATTATAGATATGTTATA